AACCAAAACCTCAGTGTTAATATTTTATATCACTGTTTCTATATTTTTATTTCATTTTAGATACTTTTCCTCCACAAAGTTTTATCAGTCACATTATAAGAATTGATGAGATTGGAAGGTAGTCCTATATCCCCCTGTTGTCAGTGGCTGTCAGTTCTGTCTCATATGAATTAAATTTGTGGAGGCTTACTGAACCAGAAGATATATGCAGGTGTGTGTAAATATGTGTAGGCGTGTAAATCAGAAAGCATCCATAACACTTTTTTTAATGATTCTGAGAGCTCTTCTCTACCCTATTTATATACTTTTCCAGAAGAGGTTATATATACCTACATATATCATGTATCTTCCATCAGCAACTTTTTTTGTTATTTTTTTGAGAGAGAGTCTTGCTCTGTTGCCCAGACTGGAGTGCAGTGGTGCGATCTTAGCCCACAGCAACCTCTGCCTCCTGGGTTCAAGAGATTCTCCTGCCTCAGCCTCCCGAGTAGCTGGGATTATAGGCATCTACCACCACACTCAGCTACTTTTTGTATGTTTAGTGGAGATGGGGTTTCACTATATTGGCCAGGGTAGTCTTGAACTCCTGACCTCAAGTGATCTGCCCACCTCAGCCTCCCAAAGTCCTGAGATTACAGGTATGAGCCACCGTAAGTCTTCACTGGTAAGCAAAGCTTCCATAGACTGTCCAGCCTTATTCATGCTGTAGCTTTATGATGTAAAATATTTATACCCTTTCATGTCTAACAGGTTTTCTCAACCATGGCACTTCTAACATTTCGGGTTGGATAATTGTTGTGGGGGTGTCCTGTACCCAGCAGCATGTTTAGTAGTATCCCTGGCCTCTACCCATTAAACGCTCTTAGCACCCCTTACCTCAGTTATGATATCCAGAAATCTCTCTAGACGTTGCCAGAAAGTCTGAGGGGCAGAATTGTGTTGAGAACCACTGATGTGTAGGGATAATATTAAGAAATATATAAATAGTTTATTAGAACAGATTCCTAAATCACTAAGTAGGTTAGCTGAGATAAAGTTGTAAAAATGAATTTATTTGTGAAGTTAAATTGAATGTAATATCGTGGTTGTAGTGTATATCACCAAGCATAAGACTTGATTCTTCCTTTCAGCAGCTGTGATACCTGCATCATCTTTTCTATTTCAGTGTCCTAGTTCAGGCCTTTGTTATTCTCTGGACTCCAGAAAAAACTCTGTCATCTTGAGCAAATTACTTAATCTCAGTGTCTTAGTTTCTTCATCTATTAAGAAAAAGGGTGTTATTAATAGTACCTCTATCTCATAAGATTTTTATGGAGATTACACAAGATAATACATATATAGCACTTAGAAGAATCCCTCCAGTTATTTTGCCTATCATTAGCAATTGCAACATTATCATCATTCCTAGCTTAATATCCCAATACCTTTCCTCTTAAAATATTGTTGTAGTTAAATCAGAGTAATCTTTGTGATGGAGCCCACCTGAGTTTCTTTCCTCCTTATAAAAATTCCCTCCTTAAAAACCTTCAAAGACTGTGCAGTGCTTGTAAGTAAATTTATGCATGGCATTCAAAAACATTTTGAATGTTGGTGGTCCCAGTCCACGTCTCCAGCTTTGCACATCTTTTCTGTGAAGTTGCATCAGTAACTTTTCTCTTCCTTTAACACACTGCATTTTCATGCCTCTTGTACTTTTGTTAATGTTGTCTCCTTAACCCAAGGGCGCCTTTCTCCTTCCTCTACCTATTGAAAAACTCCTTATTTTTCTAAGATCAGTATATCCTCCTGATAGGATGCATTGTTTCATTTTGTTTCATTTTCTTGACTCCTGGAACAATTTGATTACTTTTCCTGTCTTCTTACTCTTGTTTTCTATTTTGCTTGCAAATAAAATAGTTCTTGTCTTGAAGAAGTCATCTTATCTCTGTGCCTCCAGAACACTTAACAAGTACTAGATGCCTATATTTATGTATTCATTTAATTGTGTCTGTGTGTCACAGTCACTTTCTCAATCATTATCTGGCTACTATTTAGGAAGTATTTAATTTCTCTCCTTTAATCAGAAAGCCCACAGAACTTATTACATTGTATAATAGCAAAAACACAACAATGGAGATAATTAGATTTAAATTTTATTATTTAAATAACCAGATGTTTTATTTCTCAATAACCAGATGTTTTATTTCCTTTGAGAATTGTTATACCTGACCTTCTGCCTTCTGGATTTAAAATATGTATTTTTAAAATAAAAACATTAATTAAAAGCATTTTGGTAAGATTCTTTCCTTCCTAGTCTGCTAGTTTATTTTGGCCTTCATTTTTAGTGTTTCTTTTTTCCCCTATACTTGAATTTCTTTTACTTGAAGAAATTAGAATTTAGGATGGTGGCAAATCACATTATATTCAAATGGAAAAGGAAAATGTTTTATACATTATGTCATTTTTTTTGTGGAGTGTTTATATAATTTAATTGCTTTATACTACTTTCTAATTTGTATAGTGATTTTACTCACCTTAAATTCTTTGAAATGTGCCTATTCCTGTGGTTTAAGGTGTTTGTCAACCCTTGTTTGACAAAAGTAAGACACAGAAATTGAGTGTCTAAAATTACACAGGGAATGTAATCTGGGAATTGTGCTGTAAGGCCCTGCTACCCATTTGTGTGGTGATGTTTTTAGTATTACCATGCTACCTTACAGCATGCCATTATGCTTGCCATCATTTATGATTTTGTGTGGCACACACTGGTATATTATTAAATTTTATACTTCAGTATTGTTGTAAGGCTCATTATGTTTTCATTTTGAAAAGAAGGCTTACCAGTTTTTATAGTCAGATGCTGTAAATTAAGTAGTTTTATATGACTTAGTACCTCAGAATACTAAGGATAGCATAAATGCAAATAATAACTACAATAGGTAACACTAATAGTTACTAAGTTCTTGTGTGTTCCATGCCTTATGCCAAAACATAGATGATCTAATATCCCCACCAGACCACTGAAATAAATACTATATTTATTTATTTATTTTATTTTAATTTTTTTGAGACGGAGTCTTGCTCTGCTGCCCAGGCTGGAGTGCAGTGACGCAATCTCAGCTCGCTGCAACCTCCGCCTCTCAGGTTCAAGCAATTCTCCTGCCTCAGCCTCCCAAGTATCTGGGATTACAGGCATGTGCTACCACACCCTGCTAATTTTTGTATTTAGTAGAGACAGAGTTTCACCATGTTGGTCAGGCTGGTCTCAAACTCCTGATGTGATCTGCCTGCTTCAGCCTCCCAAAGTGCTGAGATTACAGGTGTGAGCCACCACACCTGGCCTATTATTATTATTTTTTGAGGCAGAGTCTTGCTCTGTCACCCAGGCTGGAGTGCGGTGGTGCAATCTTGGCTCACTTGAGATGGAGTCTTGCACTGTCACCCAGGCTGGAGTACAGTGGTGCAATCTCGGCTCACTACAACGTCTGTCTCCTGGGTTCAAGTGATTCCCATGCCTCAGCCTCCCGAGTAGCTGGGACTACAGGCACCTGCCACCACACCTGGCTAATTTTTGTATTTTTAGTAGAGATGGGGTTTCACCCTGTTAGCCAGTCTGGTCTCTAACTCCCATCTTAAGTGTTCCACCTACCTCTGACCTTAAGTGTTCCGCCTACCTCTGCCTCCCAAAGTGCTGGGATTACAGACGTGAGCCACCACTTCCAGCCTTAAATACTATTATTGTCCCAGTTTTCATGTGAGAAGATTGAGGCTTATAAAAGTTAAGATCTTGAGTTACCCAAAGTCACATGATTGTTTTCTGTGGTTCCAGTAAACTGAAGCTGTAGAAATTAAAATTTCAATCATTATAGTGGTCTGAAAGCAAAACTTTATAGTGAATACTTTTGGGGTATTTTTTCTTTGGTGTTGTTTGTTTTTATGTGCCTTCTTTTTTTTTCCTGCCCCGTATTTGAACATAAAAATGTTTAGGGACTGTGCAATATGTGTGTCAATGTGAGCTTCTGCCTCCACAGTAGAAATCAAAAGGGGGCAGGTATTCTTCTTCCAGTCCCTTGGCAGTTTGTGTTAGCACAAAATATTCTCAGCATGCTGATAGAATTCATTTGCTTGCTCCGTGTTGAATTTCCCAGGCCACAGCGTCTGATTTGCTGAGTATAAATCAAGCCACATCCAGGTCACTTTTCAATAAATTGCTTCTGTGAGAATTGACTGCCATATAGATTAGGATTTGTTTTTTTTTAATGGCTTCCTTCTCTGTTCTGCTTCTCTGACTGGAACTCCCACATCAACCCTCCAGTTTCCTTATGCTTTCCCTCCTATTTTCTATCTCTTTTTTTTTTTTTTTTGCTGAAAACTTTGGGATTCTTTTTTCTGTTTTATATTCCAATTTAATTTTAATCCTTATTTCCTGCATGTTTCTTTCTTTTTAAAATAATGTTATGCTATTGGAAGGCATACCTTAATTGATTATTTCTCAGACAATATTAATGATAGCTTTTAAAATTTTTTATTCCCTACTGGTTTTCTTTTCCTTGCATTCTCTGTTTCTTCCATGTTGGTTATTTGTTTTTTGTTTTTGGATTTTTTTTTTTTTTTTTTTTTTGGTCTTTGTTCTGGTGTCTATTTTTTATTTTGATGCTTCCTTCAAATATCTGATGATCATTGCTTGTGTGTTAATATGTTAAAGTACAGCATCGAATTTGAAACTGTGTTATAGCAATACTGTAGTCTCCTTTTAGAAGTATCTGGCTAAGTTACTGTAAGAGTACCTGAGAAGTAGTGAGTATTTATTCAGTAAGCTAATGTATCGTTATGGTGAATCTCTTTCACCGTTTTCAGAGTGACTGTATGCAAAGGGTGGAGTTGAATATTTACCAGAGGACTTGCTTGTGTTTTGGGAAAAATTTTATTTTATCTAAAATATAATTGTACAAATTTTATTTTGTTAATTTTGATCAGAAGAGTTAATTTTGTTATCTTCGCTTAATTTTTCTTTGGCCTAGTTTTCAGATAACTATTATCGTGCAGAAATGATTGATGCCCTGGCCAACTCTGTTACACCTGCAGTCAGTGTGAATAATGAAGTTAGAACTTTGGATAACTTAAATCCTGATGTGCGACTCATTCTTGAAGAAATCACCAGATTTTTGAATATGGAAAAACTTCTTCCGAGTTATAGACATACCATCACTGTCAGGTAGGATTAAATTCCTTACTTTAAGCTTATTCTTATAACTATAAAAGAAATTTATTTTCATTATAGAAAATTGGGTTAAATATAGTAAAGTAAAGGAGAAAACTAAAATTCTGTATGATTCTACCACCCACAGATAAATTATTAGTATTTGGAGAATGTCCTTCTAAATTTTTTCTCTCTTTAATTACATAAATTTTTAATTACTTGAGATTATACTGTATATGTAGTTTTTGTATTGTTTATATCATAAATATTTTCTCATGTCATCACAAATTCTTCATAAGCATTGCTTTGATGTCTGCATACTCTTTTTTTTCCCGTTGGATTTTGTATAAACATTCACTATTGTTAGCCTTTTTTTAAGATGACTTTTCACTTTTACCAGCTTTACATGGCTGTCAAGAAGTTCTGCCAATTTAAGAGTTTGCTAAAAGTTGATTCAAACATAAACAATTTTAACTTTCCATATAGCGAATATATTACTAAAACATTTGGAGAAAATATTTAAATTATATTTTATGCTAAATACTTCTTTTTCTGAAAACTATTCCTGTTACAAGTATAATGACACTTGAAACTTTGAGTATGGGAATTTGTTTTCTTTTTTTTTTTTTTTTTTTTTTTTTTTTGAGACGGAGTTTTGCTCTTGTTCCCCAGGCTGGAGTGCAATGGCTCACCACAACCTCCGCCTCCCGTGTTCAAGTGATTCTCCTGCCTCAGCCTTCCGAATAGCTGAGATTACAGCCATGCACCACCATGCCTGGCTAATTTTTGTATTTTCAGTAGAGATGGGGTTTCACCGTGTTAGTCAGGTTGGTCTCGAACTTCCAACCTCAGGTGATCCACCCACCTTGACCTCCCAAAGTACTGGGATTACAGTCGTGAGCCACCACACCCGGCTGGAATTTGTTTTCTTTTAACAGAATTTAGATACTAATTTTGAATTTTTATCATTGCAAAAATTTATTATAGTTATGTCACTTAACAACAGGCGTATGTTCTGAGAAATGAGTCATTAGGCAATTTTGTTGTTTATGCAAATGTCATAGAGTATATTTACACAAACCAAATGGTGTAGCCTGCTGTATACCTAGGCTTTATGGTATAGCCCATTGCTCTGTTGCTCTTAGGCTATGAAGCTGTATAGCATGTTACTATACTGACTACCGTAGGTAATTGATAACACAATGGTAAGTACTTATATATTTAAACATATCCAAACATATGAAAGGTATGGTAAAAATATGGTATAAAAGATAATAAATGGTACCCCTGTATAGGACATTTATCATAAGATAAATGGAGCTTGCAGGCCTGGAAGCTGCTGTGGGTTTATCAGTGAGTGAGTAGTGAGTGAATGTGAAGGTGTAGGACATGATTATTGTACACTACAGTGGACATAATAAACACTGTGGACTTAGATTACACTAAATATATTAAAAACATTTTTTCTTCAGTGATAAATTAATTTTAGCTTATTAAACCGCCATTGTATATGCAGTTCATCATTGCCTAAGATGTCTTTTATGTGGCATGTGACTCTATTACAAAATTGAAGGTGGATTAAAATCACATCAGTTTTTAAATTGATTGCCACAAAGGACTCTCTAATGTCTAGGAAACAAATTGATTCATAATACCTCAGTGAAAGTAGTTAACATATGTATTTTTTTCCCTAGTTGTTTGAGAGCCATACGGGTACTTCAGAAAAACGGACATGTGCCAAGTGATCCAGCTCTTTTTAAATCTTATGCTGAATATGGCCACTTTGTGGACATTAGGATAGCAGCTTTGGAAGCAGTTGTTGATTATACTAAAGGTAATACTTTAGAAATACATGCTTTTATCATTTTAGAAAGAAATATTTACTTTTTAAAGCCTGTGTTACTTATTGGGGTTTTCATAATAGTACAATACAGATATTTTAATTTTAAATTCTTGACTCAGTGATTTAGAAATCATCTTTGATAAATGTAGAATTCACATAACAGTTAATAAATGAGGGAAAGGAATAAAATTATAGGCATCTTTAGCCTTTCCAAGAAGTCAGTGTTCATCCTGTGGCTTTAATTGGATGTTATTTTAGGAAATAGAAGATTTTGGGGAAATTTCTATGAAGGATTCAAGAAAACATCTCACACCTGTGTAAAAATTTGTGTCTGTGAAGGTAGAGGATTAGACATAAACACAAACTTCAGTAGGGGAATTAGGCAAGGCATCATGAATATGGAAAAAACATAAGGCCAAAAAATCGCTAAGAGAAGAATACACATATATATATTTTTTAATTTAGGGGAGAAAGATACAGAGATGGAAATGTTAAAAAGTCATGAAGAATAGAGCAGGTGGAAGACGAGCAGTAATGTAAGAAATAACAGAATACTCTGGGACTGTGTAAATGAAGCAGACCTATAGTAGTTTCTGATGAAATTTTAATTTTTAAGACTAAGGGAAAATGTGTGAGTTTCTAGGACTATCAGAACCAGATTATTGTACAAGGCAAAAGAATAGTATGGCCTCTGAATTCTTTAGAATATGAAGAATCAAAAGACAGTGAACAAATGGCTATGTCATTATTAGGGAAAATTATGCCCCAAGATTTTCTGCCTTGCCAAAGTTGTGTTGCTCATGTAGCCTTGGAGAATTAGAACTGCATCTCTTATGTAACATTCTTAAAAACATAACTCCCAAAGATAATTTTCAGCTGACCTGGATGTGAGTCAAAATAATAACTCAAGACTGGTGAAAACGTGAAATGAAAGAACTGGTGATGAATAACTATGCCTGTCAAATACTTAAGCTTAAATATTTGTTAAACTGGTTGTAAAATTTAATGTGTATTTCAAAAATAATTTTAAAAAATTATGAAAATAGAAGAAACATGTAAATGTAATCTAAGTCTAAAATTCCAGATTCTAGCACTAAAATATGAGAGGAGTAAAAAACTTAAAATATGCTAAACTTTTGTCTGACTGTGGAAGGAGAAGAAGGGCTGAGAATAGTTCTTCAGTAGATACTGGTCCATTTTTAAGTAGGGAAAAGTATACTCAAATCTTTGTAATTTTTGGTAAATTTCTGTAGAAATACTTGTTTACAATCAGAAAATAAAGAGTAATAACAACATAATGTGTATATTCTTATGTGTTGATCTAACTTCGAAAAGGACTGTCATTTGTGCTTCGTTTTAATTGAAGGTTTAAAATATCCTTTCCTGTTAGAAATAATTATGAAAACAGTGATTTTGTTGTTAAATGTATTTTTTGGCATGAAATAAAATGTAATCCTATATCCGTCTCCATTTCTGTTTTGACAAGTTTTGAGATCCACCAAATATGCCATTGTTGCCAGTCTTTCCCAAGATGTATGAATGGTTTTTAATGTCTTGTAAATATGAGTAAGATTTTATGAACTTGTACTACCTGAAATGAAATAGAATACTAATATTAGGATTTTCAAAAGAATGCTAAACTTAGATATAATTTAATTGTGAAATGTGAATCTACACTTCACTTTTGTTCATGTCTAAATGTGAACTATGACTTTAGACTTCATGTTTTGTTAAATTGTAAATTTAAATATTGATACTCAAGTTAGAAAATGGAAGAAATGAAAAGTGTTGCGAATAAAATTCTGAAGACGCAGCTTTTCAAATTATGAAAGCAAAACTTGTTTGAAAAGGTGAATGGAAATAGCTAATCATTTTATGTCAACTATATTCGTAGCACTATTTTTGTAACTGCCTTTTATATTATGCTTGAAAAGTGAAACTGTTCTTTAGTCTTAAATGGAAGAAACCACTTGGGCAAAAACAGTGGACTATACTATATAATATAGTTGAGATACTATTGAGTGTCAAACCTCTCCATCATTTAGGCATCTAGGAAAACAATTGTATTTAAACAGATTTTGTCCAGTTAATCATCTGTAATTTAGGGTTCTTAATTACAACTAGCTTTATGTTATGCTTGCCATTGGTTTGAACTTTAGTAAAAAAAATATATTCTTGATGCAACTTTATGTCTTGGCTCTAATATATAGCTTGATACTTATAAAACTTACAAAGTGGCCCATTGCATAAAAATGTAAGAGCTTACCTATAACCTTCAACTCTGATTGAAAACTCAGCTAAGGCAGAGTCCTAAATATTAAATGTAAACTCCCTGCTTATCACTCATTATTCATTATTTTATTTGGTATAATTAACAAATATATTTTCTTTTATTTTCAGTGGACAGAAGTTATGAAGAACTGCAATGGCTACTTAATATGATTCAGAATGACCCTGTGCCCTATGTAAGGTTAGTTTATATGCTATGATGCTATGATATTTTGTAAGTCCTATAATGAACTGAGTAATTTCAGAATAAGCATAAAATACTTGTTTATGATTTTTGAAAATATGGGAATATCTTTTGCATTTATTCATGTCCTTTTTAAATTTGATTTTCAACATAAATTTTTTTGAGATGGAGTCTCACTCTGGCCCCAGGCTGGAGTGCAGTGGCGTGATCTCGGCTCACTGCAACCTCTGTCTCCCAGGTTCAAGCGATTCTTCTGCTTTAGCCTCTCCGGTAGCTGAGATTACAGGCATGCACCACCACACCTGGCTAATTTTTGTATTTTTAATAGAGACGGAGTTTTGCCATGTTGGCCAGGCTGGTCTCGAACTCCTGACCTCAAGTTATCCACCCCCTTGGGCCTCCCAAAGTGCTAGGATTACAGGCGTGAGCCACTGCGCTCAGCTAAAAAAAAATAATAATAATAAAATAAAATAATTATTAGCAGACCTTACTTGGCATTTAGAGTAATTTGGGTGACTTGGAAAGCAGCCAGACAGAAACTTCACTTTTATTCTTCAAGCAAATTAAAAGTATAACAACTTAAAATGCAATAAAGAACAAACTCACATTTTGAAATATGTTATTTACCTATATTACTGATCGGCTCTTACAAATAGAGTATGAGGCCTGAAGGAGAGGAATTGTGTTTATATATAAAGATGAAAATATGGATATGAAATATCCATAAAGATTTATATCGCCATTTATATTACCTATCTGTAAATTGCATTCTGTAATTACATTTCACTTTTATTCTTAAAACCCTTCAGTAGTCTTATTTTACACAGTCTTAAATTTCAAAGCACAAGAGGATGTTAACAGAATCTACATCTTTTAGGTTTACAGACATTAAATTGCAGCCACAAGGGGTTAAATTATTTACAATCTGGCAGTTTCACTTTTCTCCCATCTCTTTCTCAATTACAAATCCAATTTGATGTCTTACTACCATCAATTAAATGTAAAAATTTCCCCAATTCACCTTCTTTAAAGTTTTGCCAACCTCCATAAGAATTACAACCCAATTTCTTTCTCCCTCACTTATATCCAAGCATTGCAGTTACTCTTAGTAATTTCTCACACTTGGTCCTAGAGCTGATGTTGATGCTTTCATTAAATGCTAGACTACTGCAGTAGGTTTCTTCTCCTTTCTTTTCTCTAGCCTTTAATGGTGTCTTCTACTCATAGCAGTGGATGTTTTCTTTTCCAAATTTTGTTTTCATTGCATTGCCCTATATTTTAGAGAACTCCATAATATGTTCAGGTAGCCTCTCATATGAGATAAAAACTCCCAGTAGTGGAGTTTAAATGTTACCTTCTATTAGGATACTCTTCTCAACCTCAGCTTGTTTTAAGGAAAACTTTTTACAGTCTCTATATTTAAAATACTTCTGCACATTTCCATGTTTTACAAATATACTATAGTAATCACATATATGTTCATTTTATTATCTCGAATATAGACTTATTGGTCTATATATAGATTTTTTTGCTCTGTGTTAAGATTTTTATACTTACCAATCATTGTACATATATCTAAGCAGAGTGGAATGTTCATTTTAGAAAGTGGAATGGGAAAGATTGGTTAGGATTATGTGGAGTCAGGTTTTAGAAGATCTCATCACACAGTAAGGTGATTTTAGAAAGACCAAATCCACCAGAATTTTTTTAAATTACTCTCTTATCCAAACCCCAGAGTGTTTCAGTGAAAAAACAAGTAGTAAATATTCAGGATGTGACATGGTGTCTTTGGAAATTAAACTAAATAAACGCAAAGCTAGATTTAAGAGAGAAAGTGATAAAATAGGAAGGAGAAACTACAGATAATTTTTCAGTGTTTATGGTGTCTCCTACTCATAGCATCGGTCAGTAAATGGTCAGCGAAAATTTGATTTTTTTTTTTAATCTTTCAGGCATAAGATTCTCAACATGTTGACTAAGAACCCACCATTTACTAAGAACATGGAGTCTCCCTTATGCAATGAAGCCCTGGTAGATCAACTTTGGAAACTTATGAATTCTGGTGAGAGAGCAGTGATTTAAATTTTTTTTATTATTGTTATTAGAGTAGTTTGATTTTACAACAGGTTTTCAATTCAGTAGCATTTAGAACTAAAGGTAAAAGTTGAGATTTTTTTTTTTTTTCTTTTAAGAAGACTATCACACCTTCACAGTGGTGGCTGTGATAACATTTATTAAGGATACTCACTTTGCTCCATAGGGTGGTTGAGGAAACAAAAATATTTATTTATATGAAAGTGTCAAATGGTTAAGGTGCTATAAACATCAGCCTGCAAAGTATTATTATTATTTCAGAAAGTTACAAAGGAGTGAAAAATGTCTTCTCACGTCTTTCCCTGACCATCTAGTGGCCTTTTCCAGAGGTAACCAATTTTTTGTGTATCCTTCCAGAGGCAGTCAGTGCATATAGAATAACATACAGACTGTATTTTTTCAAAGTACTTACTGTTATTGTTCTGTACTGTGGAGATCATGATATCTCATCACAGTTTTTATTTTTTAATTTATTTTTATTTTTTTGAGATAGAGTCTCTGTCGCCCAGGCTGGAGTGCAGTGGTGTAATCTCAGCTCACTGCAACCTCCACTTCCCAGGTTCAAGTGATTCTTCTGCCTCACCCTCCTAAGTAGCTGGGATTACAGGCATGCGCCACTATGCCTGACTAATTTTTGTATTTTTAGTAGAGACAGAGTTTTACTATGTTGGCCAGGCTGGTCTCAAACTCCTGACCTCAGGTGACCCACCCTCCTTGGCCTTCCAAAGTGGTGGGATTACAGGCGTGAGCCACTGCACCCAACCTTGTCACAGTTTTAATTTACATTACTTGAGTGAGGTCAAGAGCTAAGAAACAGTGCTTAGGAGTGCTAGCTCTGGAACCCTTTGCAAAGGGTTGAATTTATTTATTGTGTGATTTGTCTGAACTGTTGTCATTTGTAAAATGTAGGTGATAATGATACCTACTTCAAATCGAATTAAATTGGTATTTGTAAAACACAGTGTCTGGCTCATATTGAATACTCAAAAATGTTATACTAGTATAATGATAGTTATGCTTCTCATGTATTTGAGCTATTTGTATTTCTATTTTTGCAGGTTATTCATATTTTTTGCCATTTTATTGAATTATTGATTCTTTTCTATTGATTTATAAATGTGTATATTTAAAGAAAAATTGCCTTATGTCTGTGATAGGTTGAAATTGTAATAATGGTTTTGGTTTAAAGATTCAATCAAAAGCTAGGCTGAAATGTATTTTGCTTAAAGATAGCAAGAGTTGTTGCAGATAGATAGTGGGAGAGCAGTGGATATTTATGCAATTTTTTTTTTTTTTTTTTGAGACAGTCTTGCTCTGTTGCCCAGGCTGGAGTGCAGTGGCACGATCTCAGCTCGCTGCAGCCTCTGCCTCCCAAGTTCAGGCGATTATCCTGCCTCAGCCTTCCGAGTTGCTGGGATTACAGGCGCCCACCACAGTGCCCAGCTAATTTCTGTATTTTTAGTAGAGATGGGATTTCACCATGTTGGCCAGGCTGGTCTCGAACTCCTGACCTTGTGATCCACCGCCTCAGCCTCCGGAAATGCTGGGATTACAGGCGTGAGCCACCACACCTGGCCTATCCAAATATTTAAAAGTTTTGAGTACGTCACTTTATTTGCTCTTTATAATATTGGAAAATAACTTGTCCTGCCTGTCTCATTAGTAGCTACTTCACTGACTCACAATTAAATACCAAATTTTAATTCTTTTATTTTATTACTTAGTTCACTAATATTGAGATGTTAAGTGGTTGTATAACTTCCGTTTTTTGGTTTCATAATAATAGTGCAATACCACCAAGTAAAGACACCATAGTAGATATTTATGTGAAATATAATAAAATTGAAAATAGGATGAACCTTGTCCTCAAGGTCTTTAGAAAACTACACATAAAACCAGTTTATACTAAAATATTGCTTATTTTTTTCCTAATGTTTTCTTTAATCTCTGAAAGAATAATTACTGCTTTTTACATAATGTTTTATATTTGCTACCTTTGGCTACCTTAAAAGATATTATTATTTGTGCTATTTAGACCCAGGGTATTAACACGTAAGTTCAGGAACTTACAAAGGTTCATTCAACAGTTCATATGTGGCAGTAACTCTGCTGTATTGAATATCTTCTTAACCAGAATACATGATTCCTTGATCATGATAAGTTACAAATTTAAAGAAAGCATAGTGAAATATGAAGAATTCTTTTATTATTTTCTAAAGAAGATGTTTTGGACAAAATAAATATGTGTTCAAGATTAATGAGACAATTTTTATAAAACATTTGAAGCTCATTGGAAGGTTTGATTATACGAATACAAGTTCTGGCTGATGTTTAGTATTTAATTTTGATAGCGTGCAGAGTAGTACAGTTCTGCTTTGGTTTAAAATTCTCTGCCAATATCTAAACCAGTGAGATCAGTGAGGCTATAGTCATAAACAGTTTATTACTCAGTTTTTCAGATTTATAAATGGAATAGTATGAACAATGGGAGTGGCATGAATAATTGGGAGGGTTAAAAAAATGTTTTTCTAGAACACTGGACAGTAGATAGTGAAGATGGACAAGAGAGAATTGTCATTTCCTTTCCAAGTCTGAACCTTTGGGATAAATGAATGAATGTGATCTAAGAAATCCTTCTTTTATTTGATTAAAAAATAATTAATGGTAAAAGTAATATAATCATGTTACAGAGTTTATCTGAAAAAACTACAAAGAAAGGAAATATTACATAATTCTGTTACATCAACACTATTAAGATTTGGGTATATTTGGCCTTTAGGAAAAAATAATTGTGTGTGTGTTATGTTACATAGTTATAGTTGAAATAAAAGTTTTAAAACAGCATTTTACCATGAGAATTTTTCACATTGCTATATTCTTAATGGTTATTGTTTTAAGAAATGGTAGTGAGGGTTCATCAATAACAAAAGGAACTAGAACATCATCTAGGTCCCCAAATCCAGTGGAACCCTGCCTGCTCCTCATTTTGGGGCTTCTGGGCTATCTAGTCACTTGAGATAAGCATTATCTGGGAAACAAAAACTGTGAACAATGCAGATGTAATTATATTCATTTATTTCTCTCTTTCCACAAAGTGGATTTGAGGTATATTGACTTCACCTAGTTACAAAATTTACTGAACCAATTTAAAATATATAGGAGAGAATATCATGGCTGTTCAGAAGGATCATCTTATCATGTGCTTTTGAAGAATTAGAGTTTGTTTTCTTATTCTGAAGAATCAGAAACTTTTCAACGAGAGAGAAATTGTGGTTGGACTTGCAGAAGCAGGATTTCAAAAATTGAAATCAATTTGAGAGTGAGACAGAATGATACTCATGACTTTTAAAAATTCATATGCCATTCAGTTAATACTAGTACTCATTTTAGAAATATTCTAGGGGAATTTGGAGCTGAGAGACTGGTACAGAAACTGAGGACTCTTGGTAGCTGAATCACTTTAGTGACCATACCCCAGAGGGAAGGCTGTCAGACTTAAACTTTTTGAGATCTCAGGGCTGCCTGGTTTCTGCGTGTTTCTTGGTGTGTAGTAACTCCACTTAGCCTTAAATTCTGGGAGGTACTCTAGTATCTTTCCAACAGTTTTTGCTTTGTAAATATATACACACACTGACCTATATATGTGTATATTCACTCATACACATGTCAGATATCTTAACCCATTCTGTATGTAGTTTAATTTTTCATATACATGTTTATCTTCAGCATTTTGTTTTTAAAATTTTTAAAGCTTAAAAGTTTAAAGAATAATATAATGCATAATCATATACTTTCAGCTTGATTCACCAGTTAAAATTTTACCATTTACTTTATCTCCTTTCCTTCTGTTTCTTTATATTATATTTATACCCTGTTTTTTTCTGAATCATTTGAAAATAAATGGCATCATGATCCTCTTCCCAATAGTATATACTCCTGAGAATAAGGTCATTGTACATATCCACAATATGATCATCAAACCCCACCCAGTATATAGCCCATATTCACAGTTCCCAAGTTGTTTCCAAAAATGCTCCTTGCAATTCCCATGACAACTTTTAAATTAATGCTCCACAGAAATATAGTAAACATTTTTAAAGACAAGGATCTTTTACATTATATGGTCTTTGTCCATGGTTGCTTAAGATTCTTAAATAAATAGGTTTATGTTTAATTGAAAATATTTGCCAGGGGCAGTCGTTTTTAAAGGTTTCACATATTAATTCACTAGTTTTTTCTTGAGCACTTTCTATTTGCCACTATGCTACGTTTTCTGTGTATTAACTAAGTATAATGGAAAGAGAGACATAGGAACAGATAAATTATAATATGAAGAGATAGTTGCTAAAGAGAACAAGCCATTTGGGGAACCCAAAGAAAGGAGCCATGAACCCTGTCTGGAATACTAAAAAGTTCATGGAGAGGTAGTATTTGAGCTAGCTCTTAATGAATGGAAAGGAGTTTTCCAGCAGGAAATATACATTTTGAGATGGTAGAATTATATATATAAAAGCCTCATGTTCTGAAGGAGTGTTGAGAAAATAGTATTATCTGGAAAGCTAGATTAGGATCTACATGCGAAGGGCCTGGGGAGTTTAGGTTTTATGCTCTGGGCAATGAGGAACAGGTGTTGTTAGAACCAGGCTGATTTTGGTTAGCTGTGTGTGGTGGCTTTTTTCCACACAAAGAAATGATTTTCCTCTTCCAAAGGAATATGTATCAAAATTCAGAACATACATGATCCTGCTTTTATAGCTTTAAGTAAGATACTGAATTACAGGCCAAAATGACAGTAATTTTAAAATACATTAAAAAATTAAAACCTAAGAATTGGAGATTTTTATGGGTGCTTCATATTTAATTTAAGACATAAATACTTTTGCTGGTCTTGCCTAATTGAGTGTTTTTTTTATATCTGAAGAAACAGATCTTCATTGAGGAGATAGTGTCTTTGACTCTTTATCATTATGAAGGAAATTTTAACTGTTGCTTCCACATTGACCTTTAGTGTCTGGCATATTACTATAAGAATGACATGAAAACATGAATTGTTCAAGTCATTGAATGCTGTTTATTTACATCATAATTTTTAGTGTTTGGAAATTTACAGCTACACTCAAGGGGGTAGAATGAGGGACAACTTCTAGTTCGGTTTGATAGGATTTGCTAGGTTTCAGAGTAAGAAAATAAACAGTTTTGATATTAACATCAAAAGGTTTCAAAGTTCTGTCCCACCATCTCTCTCTCCCTAATACCTTCCTTCTTAGGAATGGAAATGGTGGAAGAAAATTAAAACATCTTGATTCATCTGCTTAGGAAATTATATATGTATACACACACACATAAATAGAAATGAATTTGCTGTTTTTTTTTTATTGTAAGATGGACAGAACAGTCAGGATAGTAATTACCCAGTGGAAATTGTATTTCTGGCTTAACTGTGTACAAATTTCTAAGCTTCAGTTGTCAATAAGGAGTGCTGGGTTTATTCAGAAGTGTCCTGAAAACAGTGGCTTTCAAAGTGAGTTTTCTTCTTAGCAGCTTTTTTAGTTGATCAGTTGTTTGTTTGTTTTTGAGACGGAATCTCACTCTGTCACTCAGGCTGTTGTGCAGTGGTGTGATCTCGGCTCACTGCAAGCTCCGCCTCCTGGGTCCACGCCATTCTCACGCCTCAGCCTCTGAGTAGCTGGGACTACAGGCACCCACCACCACGTCCAGCTAATTTTTGTATTTTTAGTAGAGACTGAGTTTCACTGTGTTAACCAGGATGGTCTCGATCTCCTGACCTCGTGAACCTCCCGCCTCGGCCTAGTTGATCAATTTTAATAGCAGTTACCTCAGAAAATGAAGAGATGATTTTTTAGTAGGATCAGATTTACTATTTTGGTGGTGTTTGTCGCAAGGCACTTTCTGATTTGAATAGACAACATTAATACTGGGTTTTTTTACTTCTTGAATGTTGTTGTTCTGATTCAGATAAACAGGGTTGGTCTCAGAGTATAACTGCTAATGAAGACAGTATGAAAAGCATTTTTCCTGGGAGGAGAGACTAGTGACTGTTATTTTGTCGTATGTGATCATTCGTTGCCATAAGTGATGGGGAGAGGGGAGGTAGCTGGAAGATTAAAGATGGGTCTTCAGAATACTGTAACTGAAGGCAGAAATCAGAGGCTGTTTCAGGGCCTCTCTCTAATGGGATTGATTGACTTGGAATCATCAAATTTTAGACCTGATGAGGGGGTCTTAAAGGTCATCTGAGTGAACTACTCTAATCATCTCAGTTATAGCCCAGACAGCTGACTTGCCCAAGGTCACAGAGCTAACAGGCAATTAATTAGAAGTGTTTTTCTCCCCTTCTGTCTCTCAACTTAATTGAAATATACTAACGTACTAACGTGACAACCATTTTAAGATTTTATTCCATGATTTTGAAATACAATGAAATTTTGGCTTTTATCTCTATTTTTTGCTCTCTCTTGTAATTTTAACAAAAGTACTGCTATTCATTTTTTAGCTCCCTTGTAGTCCCCAATTTTAATATGTAAGTTCATTTTTAGGAGACAGAAAACACTATCAAGAACCTCCCTTAGGAACAAAACAGTGGTGTCCATTCCTTTGTCCAAATTAGAAGTCTAGCAAAACCAAAAACCCACATAGAAATAAAAAGTAACCAAAATCATATTGGAGGGCTTCAGTGCACTTAGCAGCCTTTACTGTGCTGCCTAATCATCCTTAAGCTGATGTTCCAAAACCAAATAAAAGCCCTAGCTCATCAAAATACACATACTCAATTTGTCTTTTAAAATTAACATATATATTTTTAAATGTTAAGGAATTCACAATTGAATGACTCATTTTGAGATCTTCCACAGCATATAAAAGTTCAGGCTGGTTTTTGCACACACATGATTAGGCAATATTGATCTTCAAGGTTTAATTTTCTTCCAAACAGCAAATATACTCTAAACTGTTCTTTTTTTTTTTTTTTTAACTGATAAAATGGCTAAGATTCACTCCTTTTCTTGTTATACCCGTGGATAGAGAGATACAGCTGCTCTGGATTGCTTACTCCTGGCATTTCTTCCCTTCCCTCAGAGGGTTGAGACCGTCTAGCCTTTGCTAATAGAAGTCCCCAGGAATCTGATAACCTCCTCTTTGTGGAGCGTTTATATATGTAAAATGCTTTGAGGAGGAGAAATGAATGCCTACAAAATAATACTACCTCAAGCTGTTGAAGTGTCCACATATGCATATTCCAGGAAGAGAAAATGGGTTTCCAATGTAAAATTCTTGCTTTTACTGTGTCATGTTTTTTCCATTACTTGGTCCTCTGTAGCTCTTGCCTCTCTCTTGCTTCTGCCAGTGTTATATGTCACACAACAGAAAAACTGAAAATGTCTCAAGTAGGAATGATGAGAGCTATTTCACAACATTATAGCATGCACAGTGGCCTAGTACAATGCACTCTCTAGTATGAAAGTGCATTTACAATTTTTCCTATTGCAGATTTGCATATAATTAATAGCTACCTGTTAAGAGTAAATGTGATGAGAATTACTATTAGTTGATAATGTATTTACTTATACTAATATTTGTTGTTGACAACCACAAAGTTTAATATTTATGATATCCAAATTTTTTCCTTTTTGTTTCTCCTTTTTAAATGTGGTACTCTTTTGAAACAACAGTTCTTGATAAAAATTAGGTATTTATAGGGCCTTCCTTCCCCCCTTCCGTCTCTCCCTTCCTTTCTTTCTTTATTTTTTGAGACAAGGTCTCACTCTGTTGCCCAGGTTCGAGTGCAGTTGTGCAATCTTGGCTCACTGCAGCCTCCGCCTCCTGGGTTTAAGCGATTCTCCTGCCTCCCCCACCCAGGTAGCTGGGATTACAGTCATGCGCCACCACACCCAGCTAATTTTTGTGTTTTTTAGTAGAGAGAGGGCTTCGCCATGTTGCCCAGGCTTGTTTTTAACTTCTGAGCTCAAGCGATCTGCCCACCTCGGCCTGCCAAGGTGCTGGGATTACAGGCATGAGCCACCATGCCCGGCCGGGCCTATTTTTCTTCTCAAGAAGAATATCCACTTTTCTTCTTTTCACTTATTCTATACTCTTCAAGTCATTTAAAATTCTGACTAGAAACCATAGAGGTTGTGTAATCCTAGTTGACAAATTTCATCTTTTCAGTCTATTTGATGACAATATCTACTGGAGTGTTCTACTGGGGAGAAAAGGAAGGTGAAAAAACCCTGGTATCAATGTGCTGTGATCTGTCATTGCTATGGGGTAAGGTATGACTTGAGACCAAAACTCCTATTTTGGAGATGAAAAAACTGTGACTCAGAGAAATGGAAAGAACTTGCCTCTAGTGTCTGAACTAGGAGAAACCGAACTTCTACCCAGGCAGTTATTTTCTAGTCAAGCCCATGTCTACTGCCCGTTGTCATGCTTGTGGTTTGCTTATTTCTGTTATTTAAAAATCAGAAATAAGTTCTCACTACAGTAACACAAATATAAAGGTGTTTAGCAAAATATTTTCCTCCTCTTCAATAAGTCCAGTAGTAGTTGCATGGTTTCTTACTATATGTAAAACCTGAAAGTAGTAAGTTCTAGAGATCAGAAAATTTGTTTCCATGATAGGGAATGTAAAGGCTCATGGAGGCTGTCTTCCTAACAAGCTGTTAATGAAGAGAATCAGACAAGATGAACAGAGAATGAGTGAATGTGGGATAATTACTGAGGATAATTACTGGGATAATTACTGAAAAGGAAGATTTCAGGCTACAAAAAATACGATTTTTGGGGCCGGGCGCGGTGGCTCAAGCCTGTAATCCCAGCACTTTGGGAGGCCGAGACGGGCGGATCACGAGGTCAGGAGATCGAGACCATCCTGGCTGACATGGTGAAACCCCGTCTCTACTTTAAAAATACAAAAAACTAGCCGGGCGAGGTGGCGGGCGCCTGTAGTCCCAGCTACTCGGGAGGCTGAGGCAGGAGAATGGCGGGAACCCGGGAGGCGGAGCTTGCAGTGAGCTGAGATCCAGCCACTGCACTCCAGCCTGGGCAGCAGAGCGAGACTCTGTCTCAACAACAACAACAACAAAAAGACAATTTTTGGAATGTTAGATTTTTGGTTCATGTCTAGTATTCATTTTGTAAGATGAAAGGTGTGATAAAGGTTTTTCCAGTTATAAAGTTCCTTTTGTTGTACAGGTTCTGGGACAGTTAAAATGTATGAATCAATGTGCATGTTGACTTAATTCTTTATTACGTACTTTTTAGGTACTTCACATGACTGGAGGTTACGGTGTGGTGCTGTGGACTTGTACTTCACACTTTTTGGCCTCAGTAGACCTTCCTGTTTACCCTTGCCAGAGCTTGGGTTGGTTCTTAATCTAAAGGAGAAAAAAGCTGTCTTGAATCCTACCATAATTCCAGAGGCAGTAGCCGGCAACCAAGAAGCTGCAAATAATCCAAGCAGTCACCCACAGCTAGTTGGATTTCAGAACCCTGTAAGAATCACATGTATTACAGAAGATGTAGTTTCATTATATAGAGCCATCTAGAGAAGAGAATTGTTTCCTGTGAACTAGTGAATTTTATAGCCACTAACACAGTTTTTGTGTCCTTTTAAAACATGCTGGCTGACATTTGATTAGCACTGTGCAAATTATAAAATGCTACTGGCAACTATAAAGCTGCACATAACAAATGATGTGCTCCTGGTCCCTTTACTCCTATTGTGATAATCTAATGATTATTTTTATACTTGAACATAGAATTTCTTCTCTGAGTAGCAAAAGATAGAAATGAATATTTAACCTTTTTGTTTTTTTTGAGACAGAGTTCCATTCTTGTTCCCCAGGCTGGAGTGCAATGGCTCAATCTCAGCTCACTGCGACCTCTGCCTCCTGGGTTCAAGCAATTCTCCTGCCTTAGCCTCCTGAGTAGCTGGGATTACGGGTGATTACCACCATGCCTGGCTAAGTTTTTGCATTTTTGGAAGAGATGGCGTTTCACCATGTTGTCCAGACTGGTCCCAAACACCTGACTTCAGGTGATCCACCCACCTTGGCCTCCCAAAGTGCTAGGATTACAGGCATGAGCCACCACACCCAGCTGAATATTTAACCTATTACATATTAACCCATCTTGTCCCATATGTGTTAATGGCAAGCCATGTGAAAACAGGGGCCTTGTCTTTTTAAAATTGTTGCTCTGTGTAATACCTAGCACAGTTCTAAACATATGATAAATGCCTGGCAAATGCTTGTTGAATGAAATAAAGAATGAATGAATGAATGACTAGGTAAATTAATAATCTGCTGATTTGGGAGGAGACTGTGTGTTACATTTTAAAACGTATTATATATATACACACAGACACACACACACACACAGAGATATATATATGTTTGTTTGCCTTTAGAGAAGCTTTTATTTCTGCCTTTGTATTATAAAATTACCATTTTGTAGAAAGACTTATAAGATACATATTAATCATTTTACTGTAATTTAAAGGAATTTTTCCTGAAATGTTTTTTTATTGATGACAAAATGTCTCCAATACTTCAAGCTTCATTTTTCACCAATATTTAGACCAGATTACTTGCCTGGCAATTCCCTACTGGTGTTTTGACACTTTAAATTGCAGATTCTCTCTATGCTAGTTAGTAATAGTTCATGTTAAATTTGCTTACTCACCTAAATTTTCTGAAGTATCATCATACTTATTTGTTGTCGATTTAAAATATGTCCTAGAGTTTGGGTTATGAAGAAGTAAGACAAATACTTACATAGAAAAAAAAAGTCTCATTAAAGAGCTCTTTCAGATCTACATATTTATCCACCTGTGAAAATGGATATATTTATAATTCTTGCTCATATATGTTAATTAATCCACATTCACACTGCAGGTTAAGAGGAGAAAATGCATCAAAGGACATGTTCTTTGGGGAAAGCTCTGAAAGTTCACTTAAATACCTCCCTTCTCCCCCTAAAAAAGACCAACAGACAAGAAAAGATTACATTTATTTTAAGCCCATTGCTGATAATTTCTAGCCACTGGGCATGCTCTAATCTGCATGGTTGCTATAGCTATTAGTTTTCAGCTGTAATATGAGCTACTCGTTTTCAGAAATCTAATTTTGATCTTGAATATTGCCGCAGGAAGATGATCACCTTGCCAAGGAAGCATCATGTAATATATCAGCTCATCAGCAGGGAGTGAAGAGGAAGTCTGATACACCACTGGGGTTCCCACTAGAACCTGGTCAAATACTGGAGAAGAATGAGGATAGCAGTAAAGTCAAACTCAAAATCAGAGTAAGAAATACAGGTTAAACCTGTATTAACAGTGTAGGATATTCACCTTCTTGTAAATCTTTTTGAATACTTGCAGTGGTTTTTCCTTAGCAGGAACACATGCGACAGACTGCATTATAAAACTCAAATGTCCTTCTGAGACATTCGAACCAAGCATTTAACTTACATTATCGCATAATTCTTCTCTATTTGGGGGAGGAACTATGTGTGCACGTTTCACCACAACTCATCACTTTTTCCCACAAAATAGGAGTAGATTTTAGTTGCTATTACATTTCCAGTAATTTCTAATTGGAGGCTGGACCACATAATCTTTTCTTTCTCTTAATATCTTTGAAGAAAGAAACTACTTTTTACTTTAAGATTATATGGGGGTATATCCTATGGCCTCTCTGCTACTTTTCCTAAGAGCTAAGATCCAAACATAACGTGATGTAATGGTTCTTTTGTTCCTCTGTTTTATGTGTGTGTGTGTTTTAGTTTTCAAGTTCTCAAGATGAGGAGGAGATTGATATGGATACTGTTCATGATAGCCAGGCCTTCATTTCCCATCATTTAAACATGCTTGAAAGGCCGTCAACTCCAGGTAAGATTAGTATTCTGCAATCATTGAGGAGATGGAGACATTGATTGATACCAGTTTTTTAATGTGTGTTACTTTATTTTCAAATGAACAAATATAAAGTTTAAAATTAGCCAGCTTAAAATATTAAATTGTATCAGGTTGTAACATAAATTAGCAAAATAACAAATAGAAAAAGTGCTTCTTTTGGCTGTTTTATTTTGGTCTTTTTTAAGTATTTGCTTGTATAAAATCCATCATTCAGATTCTTTCTAGTAGCTCTGATTTCTTTTTTATGTGTGTATGTTGTAGACTTGACTTTATGTAACCATAGTTAGATTAATTTTTTTTAACTGCAGTTAATGCTGCTTGTAGCACCACTTTCTCTTTTTGCCTGCCTATCTCATATAATATTATGTCAGTCATTTTCATAGGTCATTCAAAAAGCATCATGTTTTCTTTTGAAAATACTACCTAAGGGCCGCACATGGTGGCTCACGCCTGTAATCCCAGCACTTTGGGAGGCCGAGGCAGGTGGATCACGAGGTCAGGAGTTCAAGACCAGCCTGGCCAAGATGGTGAAACCCCATCTCTACTAAAAATACAAAAAAATTAGCCGGGCGTGGTGGCATGCACCTGTAATCCCAGCTACTCCGGAGGCTGAGGCAGAGAATTGCTTAAACCTGGAGGGGCAGAGGTTGCAGTGAGCCAAAATCGTGCCACTGCACTCCAGCCTGGGCAACAGAGCGAGACTCCATCTCAAAAAAAAAAAAAAAAAAACTACCTAAGACAACATAGAGAGTCAATATATTAAAATTTACCTTGTCATTTCCTTGTTGATAGGCATTAGGTTGTTTTTCATTTTTATATATTGTTGGTAATTCTGCACTTTATCTTTTTCTTAAATTATGTTTCTTGGATAAATTCCCCAAAATGTATTATTAGTGAAAAGATTAATGTTAGCTATATTGTGAGATACATGTCTTTAGATTTTCATAGCTCTTGATACTTATTGCCATGTTTTTTGAGAGATTATACCAGTTCATATCATAAGCTTTTTCTAATTTTTAAGAAATAAAAGCCTTTGATTAAAGTTACGACATACAAATATTTGCGTACGTGCCACCCAAGTTAACATGTACACAATATATCATGCACGGATGTTTCCTATCTGCTTTATCCCTGGTCCTGTTCTGCCTTTCCACTACAAGTAACTACTATCTCACATTTTCTTTTTTTTTCTTTTTCCTTAATTTCATTCTGTTGCTTTTCTTTATAGTGTTCCACATAGGTATGTGATCCTGTATGTTTAGTTGCACTTGTTTTTTGAATTTTTTAAGAAATGGTATAACATGACTTGCTTTTTTTTACTCAGCATTGTGTTTCTAAAATTCTTATTGGTATATAAATTGTAATTCATTAATTTTCTTTATGATCATTATCTGTCATAGCACTTGTCATCAGTGTAATAATTCAGAACTTTTAGAGTAACTGTAAAATAACTCATGTTTACTGTTTTTGTTTTTTGGGGGTTTTTTGTTTTTGTTTTTTAAGATGGAGTCTCACTCTGTCGCCCAGGCTAGAGTGCAGTAGTGCCGTCTCTGCTGACTGCAGCCTTTGCCTTCCGGGTTCAAGTGATTCTCTTGCCTCAGCCTCCCAAGTAGCTGGGACTACAGGGGCGCACCACCATGCCCGGCTAATTTTTGTATTTTTAGTAGAGACGGGCTTTTGCCATGTTGGCCAGGCTGGACTCAAACTCCTGACCTCAAGTGATTCGCCTGCTTTGGCCTCCCGAATTGTGGGGATTATAGGCGTGAGCCACCGCGCCCTTCCAGGTTTACTTTTTAATGCATTTCTTCTATTATGGGTATGACTGTTTGTCTCTTTTTTTCTGGGAAATGTTTCTATTTTTTTGTTTGGAAATCTTTTTCATTGCCCATGGTTGTTGTATTTTAGGATGTTTACATATGAATGAGATTTTTTTTCTCTTTCGTTTTTAACATGTTACATTTGTGCTAAAGACTTTATTACTCCTGTTGCTTTGCTTTTTATTTGGCTTTTTGTTTTAATTTTATTTATGAGACCTAAATTATTTTTTCATTATCTAGTAATCTAAGATGAGCTACTAGAATTTGAGAACTTGCTGCAGGTAGGACATGAATCTAAGATACATTTGAAGACTGATAGGTCATGAATTCTTTGGGTTTTATAGTTGAAGCTTAACAGTTATTTTATCTATTCTGTCCATTTAAGTAGACAAGTAGAGAGATGCTAAGTGACTTGCCCTGGATGACATACCCAGGTAGTGGCCAACTAAGGGCTAAATCTTAGGACAAGTGAAGGAATGTGACAAGTGAAGGATTTAAGACATAAAGAGATAAAATATCTTACTCAGAATGTATTTCTGATTTTTTTGATAAGTTTGAAATCAAAACCTCAATCTCCAGATTCCACTACAGTGCTGTTCACATTACGCAATTAGACCATTTTCTGTTTTAAATGTCTTCTATAGTCCCTAAACTATCTTGGATCTATTTGTTGAGTAAATTTTATAATGGTATTTGTTACCAAAATTTGGGGGGCTGGGCAAACTACTCTATACAGAGTTCCACATAAATAATAAAAAATATGAAATGGTTCCTGCCCCGGAATACAGGGTTTAATTTATATGTTCAGCAAGTCATTCAAGCTTATTGCCTCTCTTGAATGCTTATTCTCCTCAGACTTAAGCTTACAGGAACCATGACAAAGGATTAAATTAAATGAGATTTTTAGTAGTTTTAAAATAGTTTTCTTTTTTTCTTCTAAAGACACAGAGTCGCACTCTGTGGCCCAGGCTAGATTACAGTGACATGATCATAGCTCACTCCAACCTCGAACTCCTGGGCTCAATACATCCTCCCACTTCAGCCTCCCAAGTAACTAGGACCACAGGTACATGCCACCATACCTGGCTGATTTTATTTATTTATTTATTTTCTGTAGTAGAGATGTGGTCTCACTGTGATGGCTAGGCTGGTCTTGAACTCCTGGCCTCAAGCGATCCTCCCTCCTCAGCCTCCCAAAGCATTGCCATTAAAGGTGTGAGCCACTCTACCCAGCTAGTATTCTTTCAACTGTTAGAATTTTACTGTGGATGAACTGTTTCTGTCTTTAAGGCTAGTTTATAAAAACCCGTCAGCCTTTTTTTTCTTTTGGGAAACAAAGAAATCAATCCCTCTTTTTTTCTCGTTTGGCATTTTAGGGCTCTCGAAGTATCGGCCAGCTAGCTCCCGATCTGCTTTAATACCCCAGCACTCAACAGGCTGTGACAGCACACCCACCACAAAACCCCAGTGGAGTTTGGAACTTGCACGGAAGGGAACAGGTAAAAATAATTAATCAGAATTAATATTATTTTGTTGAAGAACAAATCTATAAATGTAATAGAGTTACTTCATCAACTTTAAAAAACCCTTTAAAATTACAGATCTTAGGATTTGGCTTTTTTTGTAATACATTGAGCTTATATTATCTAACTTTAAAGACTATTTTAAAATAGACTTTTCTTTTTCAAAAGTAATGTATTCCTATTATAGAAAACTTGGAAATAACAGAAAATTAAGTGAGAAAAAAAAAATCCCCCATATGCCATTTAAAGATAATTTAAAAGATAATGCCATTTAATTATTATGAACATTTTGCTCTTTCTTTGCCATGCTTTTTCTAAGAATATTATGACAAATGTCAACTTCAATAGAAACCATTTAATTTGTACCTTTATAAAAAAGATATAAAGGCATGAAATAAAAAATCAACCACTTATGCCCCACTCATATAATTGGTGATTCATTCATGAAGACTTGATGCTATATTCCCTTATATCATTTCACAGTAATTGGGCTTAAGTTTGTGAAACGTAATTTAATTCAGATGTGTTTGTTACCTATTCTGTTTCACATTGTTTTCTGCTTATTCTGTTTCATCACTTACAAAGAAAGGATTATAATCCAAATGAAGTGCAAACATTTGATGCAGATGAACTACCGTGAAACAAAGATTCAGTCCTCAAAATCTGAAGGAACAGGGAGTGAAAAAACAAGATACGTAAACAAAATCATTTTTAAAGAATAGTTTTTCCAGAAGTAGACAGACTTTATAGTCTGTGAACTTCTGATTATATTCCAGTTGATGGATTTTGGTTATATAAATTATGTTTTTATCTAATATTTTAAAGAGTGCTGTTTATTGCTTTGATTTTATGAATCAACTGTTATTAATAGGGGACTTCAAGCAAAAGCAGCACGTTAAACTGTTTTGATGTTGAGACCCCCCAGACTGTTGATTACTTACCGTTCTTTGTGTGTTCTGTGCATTTATTGGAATAGATTCACCCAAAATATGTTTCAGAAGGAAATCAGCTGGGGACTTTAGCCCTTACTTTAATGAGTGAATTTTCATATTTCTTGGCCCTTCCAGAATTTTTGTATTCTTTTGGTTTTGGTTTTGGTTTTGGTGTAATTTTGCTTTATTATCATTATGCTTATTGAAATTGTACTAGATGTAAAGAATTTTCTACATTTTTAAATATTATAAAGCTTAGAGAATTTCAAACTCCTTGACATAGTTTGAGGAGGATGCTTCTGCTTACCTTTAAAAGAAAAAATTCTCTCTGAATTTCCAAGAGTCTAATCAATTTCTGTTCCAAAAAGAGTCAGAATACGTTTGGTTTTTCTTAGCAGTGTGGCACATTAACCTATGTAGAAGCAAATCTGAACACTTTTTTTGTGCCCACCAGTGTGCCTTTTTTATCATTGTTCCTTATTGCTTTTAAAAATACATTTTCACTTTTTTTCAGGTCTTTCTTTATAGGCTTTTAGTTCTCATGACATCATATGGGAAGACTGGGGAGAAAGAAACACAGCCCTAATGGTGGGGAACAGGAATGCATTAACATTTTAATTTTGGCTGCTATTAGTGTAGGGTCCTCTCTTGGCATGAGGCAAAAATGTATACCAGTTAGATGGACTGATCTAGTAATCATAACTTTGAATATATTCTTTAATGTGACTATAATTTCCTTTAAATGTGCTTTTGCTATTCAGTACTCTGAGGCCACTGAGCAAGTCTTAAAATTCAACAGTGATATTATAAGAATGTAGAAAACCTTCATTTTACAAATAACAGTGTTTTGAAGGTTTATTTGTAAATATATTTATTTTAGAATTTTGAATGCAGTTTTTCTGTAGTTTTTTCTTTTCTTTCTTTTCTTTTTTTTTTTTTTTTTGAGACAATCTTGCTCTATCACCTAGGCTGGAATGCAGTGATGTGATCTTGGCTCACTGCAACCTCTGCCTCCTGGGTTCAAGTGATTCTCATGCCTCAGCTTCCTGAGTAGCTGGGATTACAGGCGTGCATCACCACACGCGGCTAATTTTTTTTTTTTTTTTTTTTTTTTTTTAGTAGAGACAGGATTTCACTATATTGGCTAGGCTAGTCTCAAACCACTGGCCTCAAGTGATCACCAGCCTCAGCCTCCCAAAGTGCTAGGATCACAGGCATGAGCCACCAGGCCTGGCAATATTGTTGTATTTGTTAAATAACTTTCCCAAAATAGCCGGACAAAAACCTTACAACTCCTACCATACATCAGGAATACAAATATCAAACCTAGCCCTTGTGTGTATTGACCTTTCTGTGAGAAGATTCACTCAGAGCTCCAACTTTTGGCATATGGGAAGCACAACTTTAGCCTAACCCAAGTCAAGTCAAAATGACAGTGAAAAAGGAATTTCTTCTCTTCCTGCCTCCCAGCAGGAGCTGAAGATCTCTTACCATGGCAGCCGCCTTTCTTGGGATTGAGAGTTGCCCTTTCTTGGAGTTGAGAGTTGCGGGTTTAGGAGGGAGACAGCACTGGTGAGGGAAGCTGTGACCTCTCTTCAGTCTCTAGGGATTCTAGATTAGAGGTCACAAATGAGGTTTTTTGGCCCATATGCAGTTCATCAAGCTGAGGCATCTTCCTGTAAGTCTCACAAAAGTTTTTTAACTAGATAACTAAAAATAAAGAGGTTACACATAAAAATATGGATTTCCTTTTACTCTGATGGAAGACATTCGGGAAACAAAGAAAAAAGAAATTCTGGATTTATAGCTTTTCTTGAAAAAGAGTGAGAGGCCCTTTTAGTAAGGCATTTTCATCTCTTATGCTGCACCCAGTAGTCTGTTTACTCATTTATGCTGTTCCTCAGGCAAAGGCTTTTGAGTTTCCAGCCTCTGCTTTTTATTTTATTTTAATTTAATTTAATTTAATTTTAATTTTATTTATTATTTGTGAGTTGAGATGAAGTCCTAGATGGCCCCCTTAGAGCCAAGGAGCCAGATGATAATTGAGAACTGGAATGTGTTACAGACCTTGTCTAGGAGGGATAGAAAAAGAATGTGGGTTTAAAGAAGAGACGGAAACTGTTAAGTAGAGGACACGTTATGGTTTACTTTTTAACCTTGCTTCCCCAGTTTTCCCTTTCCTTGCATTTGATAGTAGAATATTTTAGGGCAGGATCATATGTGGGTATTAGATTAAGCCATTGGGATGAGAAGGGAGAAATGGCAAGAGTATTTTCCTTCATTACTTTATTATTTATTTTCCTTTTCCTGAGGTAAGGAAGGGGATACAGAGAAATGGCCATTATGGTTCCCATGGTTTTAGGGATGAACATACAATATTCTCTCCCTTCTCACCACAGCAGCCCCCTGTCTACTACTGCAGAGCCTGAGGTGACTGGACTGTCTGCCAGGTTGCTGTAGGGATTGCAGTGCTGGAGAGGAGAGGCCAGGCAAGGGGAACAAGGAGCAAGGGAATTCCCTAGTGGTTTTTGTGGGAAGGAAGCAGAGAGTTTCTGCAGCTGCCTCGCTAGGGCTGCAGTATTATGTAATGCCTTCTTGCATAAGTCAGAAGAACACAATTCTGGTAAATTTTTTAATTAAAAAAAAAAAAACACAACTTTTTTTAAAGCGTGAGAGCTTGCCCTAGAGGTCTTTCTTTTGAAACTAATATGAAAAACAGACTTTGATTTTTTTATCCTTAAATTATAATGATATAATTCTACATTTTTTTACAGTGATCTAAACAATCTGAAGAACAGAACTTACACCTTTCCTAATGAAAACTGCAGGTTTTGTGTTAAATCTAAATGTATACCTAAGGTGAATGAATTTACTGGAATTAGCAGATTATTTACGGTTTCCTATCAGCACTTTCATCACATGGGCTGAAAAGCTTCCACATTAGACTTACATTAAGTACCTCTTTCTGTTTGTTTTACATTTGTTAACTCGACTGCAGCTAACCCTTATCCATGGTGCGTTTTATTTGGTCTCCAGGAAAGATTTTACATTAGTAGAACAATACAACTCTGAACATCTCTTTTGTTCTTTCCATATAACATGAAATAGGAAAAATTTTTTTATTGTGAACTAAATGTATCTCCTTTCTCTGATGTATTTGCTATTTAGAAGAGTTATGTGTATTTCACCTTAGTAAAAGGACTTTCATTAGCCTAAAGATGAGTGGTGCCTGTGGATGGACAAGTTAGCAGGCGTCTTGTAAACCCCTGAAAGGATATGTGAAATTATGTGTGTAAATGTTTGTATCAAGGGATGGTAATATATGTATTGTCTTGATAGAGTTCTATAGACGACGTCATTATGCTCCTGTGAAAGTAAACTTTTGTGTGTCCCAAATCTAATTATAAGGAAATTACACTTTCTTACCACCTTAGATTAGACCTGGTAAACATTATTTAGGAAAGATAGATAATAAGCAAAACATATATATGTACATATATAGAGAGAGTAAAAGAATATATAAACATATATTCTCTATATAGAGAGGGAATAAATAAAACATACTATATATACAATTGTATATATAATATATATACTTATACTACATACAATTATAGTATATAGTATACAATTATAGTAAATAGTATAAATGAAAACTTAAGAGCTAAAGGTTGTTGGTGATGATAGGGTAGCACAGATCATTTGTTCTCCTATTACTGCCAATTAATATATTTGTATATGTGTCTTTTCACATATGCATGAGCATATTAATGGGATTAAATTTCTAGAAAACTTTCTAAAGGAATATAAGCATGTAACACTTTCATGGTATTGCCAGATTGCTTTAATTTCTCCTTTAAAAAAAAGCTTTGGGCCAGGCGCAGTGGCTCATGCCTGTAATTCCCGCACTTTGGGAGGCCAAGGTAGGTGGATCATTTGAGGTCAGGAGTTCAAGACCAGCCTGACCAACATGGTGAAATCCCGCTTCTACTAAAAATACAAAAATTAGCCGGGCGTGGTGGTACGCACCTGTAATCCCAGCTA